CCCCAAAACCCCAAAACCCCAAAACCCCAAAACCCCGAATAAAATTAAAGTAGTTGAATAGTTCTAGTTTATGAAGAGATTATCAGTTTTCTTATGGATCTCCTTCATTCTTATCTGCTCCTTCCATGCATCCTTACAAATTTGCTTTGCGTTCTTGTCTTTAACTTGGAGCTCTTCTCTTTCCTGAAGCATTACCATCTTGGCTTTCTCCACTGCGTCTAATTCTTCAAGTCTTTCCTGTAATTTCTCAGCTTCAGATAGCTGGTACTTCTCCATCATTTGTTTTTCAAGAGTTGCTTTGATATCATCAATATTCCTCTTATGGAATGATTTCTTCATATTTATAGTAGCATCATTTTCTTCTGGGCCAAAATTAGTATTGACCTTCTCCTTCTCTTGAAGCTTGTGCTTGAGTCTGTTGTAACTCTCCCTCTGCATCTGGTCAAGGAGCATGCGTTTGTTTTCCATTTGGGACTTTTTCTTCTTAATTTCTAACTCTTCGGCATATTTATCGTTTTCATCAAGCTGTTTATTAAAACGCTCTCTGTCTTCTTCCCTTTCTTTCTTGATATTTTTGAGACTTTCTTCGTATCTTTGAACTGCGCTTTGCATAACTGACTCTACATGAGTGTCGTTTAGCCTCCTGTAAGGATACTGTTTGAAAGGAGTCAGGAAAGCAGGGTATCCAGTCATGTACTTCACTGGAATACGTCCGTTAGTTGATTTCATTGAGTTGAACCCAGTCTTATCAAACGATCTGTACCCATCTGATCTATATCCATCAGTAAAACTCCTAGCCATCATTTTTCTATCACTATGTGAGACCTGAGACTTGTTTCTAACTTCTTCAGTGAGTTGCTGCTTCTGGAGAATCCTCTTCTTCTCGATCTCATCTCCATGAGTGAAGGGGAAGAAGTTGTAAGTTTCGAATTTTTTAGATTCACTAAGCATCCTTTTTTTATTTTTATTCTCTATCTGTTTATTCTCATTGATTAGTTTATAATCATTTTTGAAGACGTATTCGTGCTCTTGTTTTTCAGCTTGCTCCTTCATCATTTTCATTTTAGCGGCTCTGAGAATTTCATTGTCCTGCTTTCTCTCGCTTTCGTAGTCATTCTCTCTTTTCTTGATGTTGTAGTTTATCTGCTGCAGCTGATGGTTGAGCACCTCTTTGTTGTTGAGTCTTTTGTTAAAGAAGACTTTCTTTCCAGGACGAATGTAGCTATGGCCACCGACCATTCCGGAGACAAATGGGAATGGGAGGACTTCTCCTCTTTCCTGTGACATCTGTCTCTCTTTGGCTAAGCCAGAGTCCTTTCCCATGAAAGTATCGTACATCGTCTTGTTGAATCTAGGATGAATATCTCCTCCGGTTTGAGGGTTTGGATTACTAGCATGGATATTTACTGATCTTCCGGAGTACATTGAGCTTCTAGACATCGGAGTCTTAGCTGAAGACCTTGTGGTTAGGTTCAGCCCTGGAGAAATTCCTCCAAACGAATTATTGATCTTTCTCCCAATCAATTTATTCAAACTTGGAGAAGAGTAATCGAAGTTTTGATTTTCTCCGTGCTGTTGGAATTGCACTCTGAAATTCTGAATAGTCAGACTTCCTATTTTGAAGTTTAACCTGACAAAGCTGTTCTTAGCCATTTGAACAGCCCTGGAGATAATATCCTTAAGGATATAACTGATCGAGTCTGAGTCAACTCCTCAGACCTGAGCTATTGAGGAAGGGCTAACCTTTATCTTGCTAGCTTTATTCTCAGCATACGGATTTTTATTTGTCTTGTTGTCACTAAAGCTGAGCTTCTCTTTATCAAGGAACTTTAGATCAGGGATGAACACTATTTCCTCACTCTGAGAATTAGCATCAAGGATGCAAATCTTTGCAAATGAACCAACAATGGGAAAATAGACAAGCCTATTTTGTTTTACTTGGGAACGGATAAATTTTGTCAACCCACTCCATGCCTTATAGTACAGCTTGAGGATGACCTTGGCAGATTCCTTCCCCTTGCCACTATCCAATCCTAGTGCTTTACCTAAAGGATCAGACCTTTCTAGTAACTAAATCCTTACTGAGTTTATGACTTGAGGTTTTGGAGGAAGCTCACTTCTTGAACACATCTAGTTCTGAAAATACCATTTTATTCTTCCAAATTAATTTATTTCTGTAAAAATTATTGCTTCGGGGTTTTGGGGTTTTGGGGTTTTGGGGTTTTGGGG